AAAAGCTTACTGAGACGTTATCAATTGTGATTTAAAAGAAGAAAAATCTGTATCTATGCAATAACATAAGGAATGACATAGTAGTCAATCTAATGTGTATAAAGGTCATCCATAAATAGTCATTTTGGATCATTCTACTAAGGTATAAAATTAGTGTACATCTGAGGTACTGACCCTCAGTCTTTCTGAATATACACTAAGATTTATTAAGGAAGCTTGATGAAAGCAAATGATCATTATTATTTATTATTTTATGGTTTTGTTTTTGTTTTTGAGTCGGGTATCACTCTGTCATCCAGCCTGGAGTGCAATGGAATGCTGTTCATGGCCACTGCAGCCTCAGCCTTCCAGGTAGCTAGAACCACAGGCATGCACCACCACACACCCAGTGAATTTTTTGATTTATGGTAGGGACGAGGTCTCGCTATATTGCTCAGACTGGTCTCGAACCCTTGAGCTCAGGCAATCCTCTCGCTTCTGCCTTCCAAAGTGCTGGGACTACAGGCTTGGGCCACTGCGCCCAGTCGTGAATTCTTTTCAGAGCGATGTTTTCTTGCAATAGTTTTATTCTTTTCCCACAAACAGAAGTCTATACTTGCAGTTGTTGCTTTTGTGGTAAGGCTACAAGTACTGATCTTGCACTGAAAATCTGGCCTTGAGTGCAGTAGTAAGTTCCCCAAACAAGCTAGGATTCTCCATGCTTCATTGTGCTCCCACTCATGTCATACTACTGATAAGTTTTACAATGGAAAACATATGCTTTCTGACTAAAATGTTTATAAAAAATAATTCATGCGTGGAAAACGTGGAAATTATACTCAACAGTATATCTTTATATGAAAAGTGGGTGCAGTCACATAGAACCACACAGTGAATCAATTAATTAAAAATGTCAAAGTTATAAAACTGGTTACAGACTCTTTTAAGATTCCATTTTTAATTTTTCTGTCTTAGGTTGAGTTAGAAATATAGGTGCAATTCCTGACAATGTTTCTTTTTAATTACTGAAAACCAATATCTCTTGCATATACATAGGTTAATGAAAAAGAATAAAAAGGAACCTCTTTTCTAAATCTCAGATTTTACTAAAAAATCAACACAAAATGGATTACATATTTCAAAATATATAAAATTTAAAAAGCTATAAAAAAATAGGGACTAACCTTCCAGATTGAAGTTTTGGCAGAGTTCTTAGACTTGACATCAAAACCATGATCCATAAAACAAAAATGCCATAAATTTAAAATTTTTGCTGTTCAAAGGAAAGATTCCCGGACAAACTAAAGACAGGGAGAAAATTTTGCCAACCCTATCCTTGACCAGGGACTATTATATAGAATATGCAAATAACTCTTACAACTCAACCTTAAAAACAAATCCCGTGCCTTTGGGAGGCTGAGGTGAGTGGAATTGCCTGAGCCCACGGGTTCAAGACCCGCCTGGGCAGCAAGACCTCATCTCTACAATAAATCAGAAAAATCAGCTGGGCGTGGTAGCGCATGCCTGTAATTCTGGCTACCCAGAAGGCTGAGGCGGAAGGATCGCCGGAGCCCAGCAGGTGAGGCTGCGGTGGCCGGGAGCAGCCACTGCACTCCAGTCTGGGCGACAGAGTGAGACTCCAACTCAAAACAAACAAACAAACAGCCCAAACAATCCAATTAGAACATGGGCAAAAGGCACAAACAGACCTTCACTGAAGAGTGCAGATTACAAATAAGCAGAGAACTCGGTCCTTAACATCATCAGCCACCAGGAAATTGTGAATAAACACCACATAGAGATATCACTATACATTTATCAAAACCGCTAAAATACAACAAAATGAGGACACCAAATCCTGGAGAAGATGTGGAGAAATTGTATTACCCACACATCGTTGGCAGGACTAACAAATAGTACAGCCGCTCTGAAAAAAAATTTGTCAGTAGTTATAAAATTAGACTTGCAAATATCATATATCCCAGCAATTATACTCTTGAGCATTTTTCCAAGAGAAATGAAAACTTGTGATACCATAAAGTCCTGCTCATGACAATTCATAGCAGTGCTGATTATGTTAGCCAAAAACTGGAAACAACCCATGTGTCCCTCATTGGGTAAATGATTAAACAAACTGGAATATCCACACCATGAAATGCTACACAGCAGAGTAAAAGGTGCTAAATTATTGACAAGGGCAGCAACTTTGATAAATCTCCAGAGAATTATGTTAAGTGAAAAATATCAACCCCAAAAGACTACATACCATATGATTTCATTTATTTGCAAAACATTCTTGGAGTGAGATGACTAGATGAGTGGTTACCAGGAATTATGAATGAGGTGTGTGGAAGGGCATGGTTATAAAGGGTAGCATGTATGACTTATTGTGAAAATGACACTGCCTCTTGACCATGCCAACATAGATACTCTGGTTGTTCTAGTATACTCTAGTTTTGCAAGGACTGCAGGACCATTAGGTGAAAATGAATAAGGGATACACAGTTTCTCTCTAACAGCTGCATGGGAATCCACAATTATCTCATAATAAAAAAGTTTTATCTTGAAAATTTACTGATTTAATGAAGAAAAAAAGGACTTTAATGAGGGAAAAGTGACATTTTTATCATTAAAAAAATAACACAGAGACCATATTGCATATTTTAAATATTGAAGCATGTAATTTAACAATTTACCATATTAAAATGTGGTTTTAGAATGTTTAAGCTCAAATATTAAAAAATGAGAGTTTAGACTAGCCTAGGCAACACCTGTCTCTACAGAAAATAAAAAGTTAGCCAGGCATGGTGGCAAGAACGTGTAGTCCCAGCCACTTGGAGGCTGAGGCAGAAGGATGACCTAAGCCCAGGAAGTCGAGGCTGCAGTGTGTCATGAGTGTGTCACAGCACTCCAGCCTGGGAAACTTAGTAAGACCCCAACTCGAAAAACAAATAAAAAAGAGAGATTATTATTAAATCTACTTCTTATTGGAGCAAGTACCAGTGAGGTCACCAGTGAATGACATATTTTTATTTAGAAAATGCTGATATTATGCAATGAGAAATTGAGCACATGGCCGTTTTCTGATTGTCCAGACACAACAGGGTCAGAGAACTTCAAAAGACTTCCCAGAACAATTAAAAGGTGACCCACACACTATCTTGAGGATCCCAGGGTGGGGGAGATGTTTGACTTAGAAAATATTAGGCCTGGGCAGCTCAGTGACCACATCATCCTGGAGCCTTGGATGAGCCAAAGCTAGGTCTGGTAAATTCCAGAGTCTGTGTCAGTAGCCTCTGATCTATAATTCCTAAGACATGATTGTTGTCCCTTGTAAGAATTCACCTCCTACAGTAGTTGTCCCTTGTAAGAAGTCAACTCCTATAGAGGTCGAATTACGCTATGTTGAAAACATAGCAGAGCGCTTTGTATTTCCTTTTATTTCTGGTGACTGTGAATCCTGAGTAAAAGAGATCATCGAAAACCGACTCTGCACCTAAGATTATTTTTCTTTTAATTACTAGAGTAAAAGAAAAATGAGCAAACATAAAGGTAACTAAAGCAGAAGAAAACTGTGGTTCAAGTGAAAAGGTAATCATTCCTCCTCCTTTGATTTCTGAGAGGACTATGTTGAATAAAATAAAAATTGTGATTGGATTGAAAGCAAGCTTGTCCTGGTATTCTGGGCCTGACCAATGCCCCTGGGCTACTAGGGGTGATAGCTGGGTCCACTGGGCAACCACGGGGTATGGCTGAGAGGCAGGGATGCCACCCCTCACCCTGGACCTCTATCCTATTCTGAGTGTGGTAGACTGAGTAAACTGAGTTTCATCAGCGCCATGGCTGAATCTCAAACATTCTGACCCTAAAAGTAGTATTTTAAGGGATGTAGAATCCGGAGGCTTTATCTGACCTTTGAGCTTGCAACAGGCTCTCCAATTTAGATATAAGCCAGAACTCCACAGTTAGGTAGCCAACTATTACACAACTACCAATAATTTTATAAAAATAACTTAGGTTCCCATTCTTCTCTTGTCTCATTTGAATATAGCTCCCCTGGGAACCCTTTGGTAAGTAAGGTGCTTGTCAGAGCAAGAGAATTTCAAAAGTACCTGATTTAAATTTCATCTAACTACTGGGGAAAAAAAAGATTTCCCCTTCATACAAACTATGATGCACCACCAATAAGAGAGATGTTTTAATGGAAAGGAACTGCAGCAAAACCTTAAGTATCATGAGCTCAAACATCTAGAAATACAAAAATAGTAGAAGATAATTTTCTTGCAAACTAGGTTTCAGTCCAGGTCTACATGACAGATGTTAAAGAAATGAATCAAAAATAAATAATTGAACTTTAAAAGCAACAGGAACCTTTAAAGTCAGTCATAAGACTTGAAGTTTAAGAGCCAAAGAATACTAACTATACAGTGCAGGAATAAATAAATGAATGAATGACTAAAAAGAGAAATGAAGATGAGTTTTTTTTTTTCTTTTTTTGAGTTGAGACTCACTCTGTTGCCCAGGAGGGAGTACAGTGGCATGCTCATAGACACTGCAGACTCCACCTGCTGGGCTCACATGATTCTTCTGCATCAGTCTTCCAAGTAGCCAAAACTACAGGTGTGTGTTACCATGCCTGGCTAATTTTTTATTTATTGTAGAGACAAGATCTAGCCAAGTTGCCTGAGCTGGTCTTGAACCCGCAGGTTTAGGCAATCCACTCACATCAGCCTCCCAAAGTGCTGAGATTACAGGCTGAGCCACCGAGCATGGCCCAAGTTATCGTTTTAAAGGCGAGAATCTCAGATTTTGTGATTGAATACCTGGCCACAAGACAAAGGTCAAGGAGAAATTTCTGTTTATTCTCAGAAATGTTTTCACAACATCATGAAGAGAATGTGCAGAACTCTATACGCTAAGGTGAAGCTCCAACCTCTTTTCATGGACACAGGTTCTTCAGTGCCTTAATCAGCTTGCTCCACCCTCAAGCAAAGGGACCATTTTTCAGATGCTTTTCCTACCTCGACATGAGGGCAATGGGCTACTCCACTGGCCATTGCTCCGACACTGGGCTCGAGATGCACCCTGCAGCAAATAGCCTGTGTTGCAGGTGAAATTCACGACATCATTCAGGTTGAACTCACTGCCATTAGTGAATCCATGGGCAGGGTTTCCAGGGTGACCACAGGTGATGGCTACAGAGAGAGACAGGCCAATGTCATTGTCAAGTATTAGCCAGGTTATCATTTTCCCTTGGGATTATGTATTAATAATTATGCAATTGTGCTAAATGTATTGAAAAAATTTCAACTAATCAGGCATTTTACAACAGGTATTTATATTTGAAAGGGAATATGGGGAGACAGAACCACAAGCTGAACCTACAGGATTTTATGATAACTGAGGGAAAAAAACAACACTCTCCAAACTCACTTTCTTCACCATCATAATTATTATTTTTTATTTGAATCTTGACAGAATACCAAGTGATTTCAAAATGAAGCCATGGAAAATAAGAGATGCTAAAAATTCTTGTACTATCCATGAATTTTGAATATTTTCCTTCTCATATACACTAACTGATTTTGTGCAACTCTCCTTTTGAAACATTATGGAGATTTGTTTGATACTTTAAGCTGTCTATGTATAAATTATTCCAATATCAATTTAAACACTATGAAATTAGCAAAATAACTATGCACACTCAAATAGCATTTTTGTTGACAATCCCTCTTGTATGAGCCCTTGAAATGCAGTGAACTGTTATTATGTCATGCCCCAGATAATAGCAAGACAGAACAGGGAGATATCCGTCATTTGCCCTTTCAAAAGAAACACATTACAATCCTAAAACTAGTGTGTTCCTCCTCATTTAGCTTGTCAACAAGTTTTTTCTTCTGAGTAAAGCTTTCACCTCTGAACTCTACATTTTCCACAGCACTCTCACAGACAAGCATTGTCAGTGTTCTGTAGTTGCATCAACATTGCTTTTGCTTAATTCACAGGGAAATAAAGAATATACTGGGAAAAAAAACATTGGCTTAAGAGAAATTTTGCAATAAAGTAAGGATACATGTATTCTAAAAATTCTAATGAATATTTATCATTGGTGTTATAGAGTTTGAGGTTGATCATGACATATAATTTTACCTCTTTCAATGAGAAAAGGGAATGTTTACACAACTGTCTGTAATCTTGATGAAACAATAAAAAGAGAGAGTACTGTGAAAGATTAAGAAGATATAGTTATTTTTAGGAATCTGCAAAGTTAACCTGCAGACCAAGATTCAACAACTTTACCCTCCTATAAATTAGCTTTTGTTTCCATCTAATTTATCCTGTGATAAAATCAGTGTAAACGAATATATGATACGACTTGTCCAGGGACCCATTTCAGATGAATTAATGAGTAAATTAAACATGAGCAGGAGTCTGGGGAAGGCGTTTGAAGGGTACAGAATGGGTGGAGTATCAAAAAGGAGAGTGAAAATGACAGTGCTCCAATTCTCTCTCCTTAGACAGGTAGACCTGAGAGGTTTTGATCCCATGTTACTCTGAATATGATGACACATTTGTATTTTGAATTCAGAAGAGAAAACATAGTGAAGGAAGCATCTGATGAATTGGTTCACAGACAGTGTACTTACGGACACAAACAGGAGTTTGTCCAGACCATTTGTGGTCCTGCAGACATATCCTCACAGAAGTTCCTACAAGCCGGAAACCAGGATTGCACTGATATACCACCGTGTCTCTGTAACTGAAGCCATCTCCACTGATATGACCATTTACAATTGGGTCTGGGGTACCACAGTGGCCAGCTAAAAATATAAACAAAACCAATAAAAATATTTAGTCTTTTTATCAAAGTACTGCATGAGTGACTTGCTTACTTTTATTGTCAAGTCAACATACATAACTTATTGTAATTATATATTCCATTTTCATGAAAAAATGTATAGGAAAATATGTATATAGAAAAAATATAAAAAATATTTATGTGTTTATACGCTTTCACATACCACATACGCATATATATACTTTTATTTTGTATAGTTTTTCTTCTTCATCTTATCATTCTCAACAATTTAAGGTAAAATAAGCACTATTTCTGATACGCAATTGTTTATGGGCATTTCCCTAATTATGCTTTCCTCATTTATTTAATTTCATTCTTTTTCATACTGGTATTAGATATCATTTATCTTGTTAATCTATTTTCAAATCAGAACAAACAAGGTGGGTGGGGGGATACTTCAAACTACTTGTGAAATTCCAAATGGAAAGACAGGTCAGGAAATAAGTTCAATTTCCAACATGTAAATTTGAGTTACAGATGAACCAATGTCTGGGCGACAAAGGTCTGCAATCAGTTGAAAAAAAGAATTGAGAGTTCGGGGGAGAGAGGTACTGAAGAGAGAGTGAATTGAGGAAGTGTAAGATTGTGTCTGGAGCTGATACCGGGTGACCAAGCTTGCCTGGTTATGCCCAGTCGGGAACAGGTGTATGCAAAGCTCAGGGTGTACACTAGGACTCAAAGGGAGGTGAAGAGTATCCATGTGGAGGAAACTGAAATATAAAAAAGATCACCAGACAAGATGTCAAATGAGCTTCAAGAATCGAGAGCTTCCACATGGAGAAGGACGTTAAAGGGAAAGCTCATTTCTCCAGGGGCTGTGGGATGGGGAGGAGTGATGTGCTGTGCAGGACAGAGATGGCTCTTCTCTCTCATTTCTGACTCTTCAGCTCCCATTTCTATTTTATTTCTTTCAGTTCATCTCTCCCCTCTCCCTCTTTACCTCTCCCACTTCTCTTTATTATCTTCTTCTCCCTCCCTACAACTTCTTTTTTCTCTCTCCCTTTCTCACATACATGAAAAGAACATCTTATTAGATCAACAAAATATAAAGCCTTCAGAGGAAGCCACAATAATAGGGTCTGTGCTGTGCACGGGCTTTGGATTGACAAGAAGAGGAAAAATATTGACTGTGTGTTCCTAAATTCTCTAGCCAAAGAGCAAGGCTTATCATGGGGACGTAGCTATGCCAGGCTGGAGCAGATGCAAAACATCTAGGTGTAGACTGCCCTGGTGATGTGCTACCCCAGTAGAGAACAGTCTCTGATACTTTACACAAGTTAGCATATACTTAGAATTGAGAAAAGAGTCAATTTCATTCATAAGCAGACCCTGAACATTTACCATAATACTATAAGAAAGGGATTGACAGTAGTGGGACCTGCTGGTGGCGGGGGCACAACATCAGTAAGTGTACCTGATCTCAAACCAGGCAAAGTGTGGACCAAAGAGAGGCCCATACCTGTACGATGACTACTTGTATACGTAATCCTGAATTGTACCCCACATCTTTAAAATAAAGCAAAAATTAAAAAGAAAAAAAAAAGCCGGGCTCGGTGGCTCAGCCTGTAATCCCATGCCTTTGGGAGGCTGAGGTGAGTGGATTGCCTGAGCCGGCGGGTTCGAGACCCGCCTGGGCAGCGAGACCTCATCTCTACAATAAATCAAAAAATCAGCTGGGCGTGGTAGTGCGTGCCTGTAGTTTTGGCTACTTGGAAGGCTGAGGCGGAAGGATCGCCAGAGCCCAGCAAGTTGAGGCTGCAGTGGCCAGGAGCGGACACTGAACTCCAGTCTGGGCGACAGAGTGAGACTCCAACTCAAAAAAAAATAAACAAAAACAAAACAAAAAGCAAAAAAAGAAAAAAGTGTGAAATTATTGTCACACTCCCCTTGGGATTAGCTACACCCCTCTAGAGAATTTAAAATAATATTCTATAGTTTTTGCTTAAGACAATATTTAGAAACATTGTGTTCTGGTTTTGAGACCAAACTTATCAGCATGTTGACACTGCAGAGGAGAGAGAGAAAACACAGAATCCTCCCTCTGCCTCAACCCCTATAAGAGGTTATATTTTAAAAAGTCATGCTAGTTTTGGCTGGTTTTATTGCATTGGCAGATTTTTCACTCACTCAGATCAGTTAAGTCAATTCCAATAATCTGCCCAGATCACTCCCACATGAGCCTTGATATAAGCAGAGAACTTGGGTGAGGGTGAATGTTCTCTGTGTTTTGAAGAGAGACCCTCTGAAGCCACAAGTGTAACCATAGGCACAGAGGACACTGGTTCCAAAGAGTGTCCCCCTTCCCAGATGCTGCCCTTTACACAGCATGCTCTGTCATGCAGGGAGATGGAGCCATCCTTTCAATATCAGAGATGAGGAGAAAGGACTGGTGAAAGAGTGAGAGGAGCCTCCCACTGGCTCAGCACAAGAGAGCCCTGCCATTTTTGAGGTGATGCTTCAAACATCTAATTTTTAGAAATATGGAGCCAAATAACAAAATCATTTCCTTTTGGCGTTACTACAGAGGTCTGGCACCACTCTAAGAAGAGGGGATTTGGTACCCAGGACACCAGGGATGTGAAGAGGTGTGCATTTTGACAAAGAGTCCCACTCAATTTAGGTGATCTGTTCAGGACTCTTTTCTGACTTGGATAGACATGACAGGTAGACTCCATTTTAAACTTTAATAAGTATTTTTCTCGGTTAAGTTTTTAGTAAGTGCACATAGTTTGAGGCTGCATTCATCTTTGAAAGCCTGGTGAATAAGTACTTTTAATGGCCAAGGAAGTGTCTGTATACTTTAGAAATCAGAAGGATAGCTTGACAACCATGTTTTAAATAAAGATTTCCAATAACAGTTCCTCCCTGACACATGGTCATTTCAGTTCTCGGAAGAATTGGCACCAAATACTCAAAGAAAATAGATGTCTTTCAAAAACTCTTCATTTCAGCTTCCTACCTGATGGGAAAAAAAAAGAACCAACAGTATGACCTAGTACTTAAGCTTCCTAATATGAATAAATGCGTCTATTTCTCAATGTGGCTTCCTAATTTGAAACAAATAAACCACAATCTGGTTTTCACTTGTATCACTTCTAGTCTTCAGTGAATTCCTTTTAAAAATATTCAGTCTAGCCGGGATCGGTGGCTCAGCCTGCACTTTGGGAGGCTGAGGTGAGTGGATTGCCTGAGACCGCGAGTTCGAGATCCGCCTGGGCAACTTGGCGAGACCTCATCTCTACAATAAATCAAAAAATCAGCTGGGTGTGGTAGTGCATGCCTATAATTCTGGCTACTCGGAAGGCTGAGGCGGAA